GCTCTCTCTCTGTCAAATAAATAAATACAATCTTAAAAATAAAATAAAATAAAATGGCTTTTTAAAAAAAAACTTATGTATTGAATATAATGATCAGAATGGTTACATACAATTCTAGCATCTTATTATTTTTTTTATTTGTCCCATTTGTTGTTCTTTTCTTTCCTCTGCCTCTGCCTTCTATTGGACGTATTGAGTGTTTTTAAGTTCTGCATTTTATCTCTGCTATTGGTTGTACTGTTTTATAATTTAGTGTATGTCCTAGGGTTTTTAACATATATCTTAGTTTACCATAGTCTCTATTCATGTACATTATGTCCCTTAACATAAAGAATATTATGAAAGCATATTTTCATTTCTGTCTTCCATCTTTTGTGCTGTTTTTGTGATACACACATTTCCCCTCTGCCTCTGTAGTGAACCCCCCATTACCTGTTGTTCTTATATGTACTTTACATGGTCAGTTATCTTTTATAGAAATGAAAAGATGAGAAAACAAAGGAAAAAATCCCTTTATTTCCCCTGCAAATTTGGTTCCTCTGGTGCCCCTTATTTCTTTGTACAGATCCCAGTTTGCATCTGTATTATTTTCTTTAGCCCCAGAAACTTCCTTTGTCATTACCTCCCCTGGAGGTCTGCAGGAGAAGAATTGTCTCAGCTTTTACCTGAAAAAGAGTTTCTCCTTCATTGTGGTAGGACATTTCACTAGTAGTGGAATTCTAGGTTGAGATTCTTTTCTCCTCGAGACTTTAAAGGTGTTATTTGATGGTCTTGTGCTCCCATTATTTCTAACTGGGGATCTTTCAGTCCTACTCAATATGTGTTGCCCTGTATACATTATGCCCGTTTTCCATCTACTTTAAAATGCTGCTCCTTATTATTGATTTTAGCACTTTAATGATGACATACTTTGATATGGTTTTCTTTGTGTATTTGGATATATTGAACTTACATCTGTGTGTTTACAGTTTTAATCAAATTTGGGAAAGTTTCTACCACGTTCTCTTCAACTGTGTTTTCTGTTCTTCTTCTGGGACTCCAATTGCAATTACTGTTGTCCCACAGTTCACCGATTCTCTATTCCTTGTTTCTTTTTTGTCTCTGTTCTTCACGGCACATAGTTTTGTGTTGTTTTTTTAAGATTTTATTTATTCATTTGAGAGAAAGAGAGAGAGATCATGAGTCAGGGGGAGGGGCAGAGGGAGAGGGACAAGCCCAAGGACGTTGGACTCCATCCCAGGACCCTGGAATCATGATCTGACCAAAGACAGATGTTTAACGACTGAACCACCCAGGTGCCCCGCAGCACATTACTACGTTTTCAAATTGAGCATTCTTTTCTTCTGCATTATATAGTCTGCTCTTAATCCCATTCAGTGAATTTTTCTTTTCAGGTATTGTATTTTTCAACTTGTATTTTTCAGTATTCTACTTGGTTCCTTATAGCGTCTTCCCTTTTCTCTCATCATATTCATGTTTTCCTTTAAAATTTGTCTCCTTATAACTATTTTAAAGTCCCTGCCACTTCCTGTCTTTCATTTCTGTTTGTTTCTGTTGATTGGCTTTTTTCTTCTGGTTGCAGATCACGTGTACCTGCTTCTTCACACGTCTAGTAATTTTTTATTGGGTGCTGGATATTTTGATTCTTACAGTTCTCTATGTTTGGATTTTGCCGTTTTCCTTTTAAAGCATTAAACCTTGTCTTATATAGGCAGTTAAGTGAATCAATTTGATCTTTTGGAAGGTTATTTTTTAGGCTTTTTTTTTTATTCTTTAAAATTTTTTTTTTTATTTGAGAGACAGTAAGAGAGAGTACTCGAGCAGGGTGAGGAGCAGAGGGAGAAGGAGGCTCCCTGCTGAGTAGGAACCCCCCCCCCCCCCCCCCAACCCCCTCTACATGGTGCTCGATCCCAGGACTCCAGGATCACAACCTGAGCTGAAGGCAAACACTTAACCAGCTGAGCCACCCAGGAGCTCCCTTTTTAGCTTTATTAAGATGGTTCTAAAGCAGTCTTACTGTAGAGCTAGTTAAGCCCTTCTACTGTGGCTTTAATGCTCCTGCTGTTTCTACAGAATGCCCTGGACGTCCAACTCCCATCACTGTCCAGTTAGAACTTGAGTATATCTGTGCACTGAATGTGCAGCTTCGTACTCAGCATCAGACTCCAGGGGAATCTCCATTATTATTCTCTGCTTAATGCCCTCTCTGACCGTGCCCCCAAATTTTAGCTGCCTCAGCCTCCCCAATTCCTATGTCTGTCTTCTAACCTCAGTGAGATCACCATGCTCTACGTGGTTACTTCCTTCCTGCTCAGCAGCCTGGGAAATGCCTCCCTTTCAGCTCCAGGGATCATTATGGGGTTACCTTATTTGTTTCCTTACTCTTAAGGATCACACTTTTATGATGCCCTTTCTCAGATGACCAGAAACATTGGTTCTACATATTTTGTTCAGTTTTCCACTTTTTCAGTGTGGGAAAAGTGTTTCTAGTATATTTATTTCATTGTGGGCAGAAGTGGAAGTCCTTCCACATGCTGATTTATGTATTTTATATATTATGTATGAAACAGATGAATTCATTTTAATTTTAAAAATCCAAGAGTATTATAAATAGAATAAAATATGGTAGTCCCCTTACCTCTCCCATCTTATTTCGTGTAACTCAACAGAGAAACTACTTTTAGAAGTTTGATGTGCATCCTTCTGTTTTCCTTTATGTACTTATATCCATTTATATACACATGTTCATGCAAATGAGAGGTAGACATATTTTTAAAAGTAAGTAAAGCAGTTCTGTAACTATTATTCTGCAATATACTTTTTCACTTGATAATGTCTTGGAGATGGAGATCTTGTTATTAAAATATATATCAATTTTTATTTTTCTAATATTAGCCATATATCCTACAGAATGGTTTTCCTCTAATTTATTTAATCACTCTACTCTTCAATCATTAAGGTTTTTCCTTCTAACTTTATGCTGTTATAAACTGTATTTTTAAATAATATGTACAGTAATTTTTCCAGTGGTATTTCTGTAGGAGAAATCACAAAGTTTTCAAAGAGTCTGTCTATAAATTGCCTTTCTAAACAGTTTTTACATGTTTATATTACTCCTAACTAGTAGGAATCAGGCTCTTTGAAGAAATCATTGATTCTAGATCTAGAACAGGAAATGTAAGAGATAAGTCTAGAATATCTTATCACAGCAGAAAGCAAGGGAGGTAAGCAAGATTACTGTGATGGCATGAAAAGATACAGAATGCCCTTTGAAGGGACTGCCATTAGTCAGAGCGGACAGTTTACCAAGCAAAGAACTGCCGGCTGAAAAACATTAAGTATGCTTAACAGCCAAGAATCATAAAGATGCCAACGAAACCAAACCCCAAACCACATTGCTCACCTTGGAAGGGAGCTAGGGGATGGCATTCTTGAGTACTGGTAAGGAGAAGAATCGTGTAGTTACCTTCCTCTAACTGTATGACCCTATTTCAAAGTCACCAAGTAATTAATGAGAGTAATTTCTTTTTATTTATTTATTTATTTATTTATTTATTTATTTATTTGCGAGAAAGAGCACGAGTGGGAGGGGGAGGCAGCTGAGGGAGAAGCAGACTCCCCTCTCAGCAGGGAGCCCAATGTGGGGCTCCATCCCAGGACCCTGAGATCATGCCCTGAGCCCAAGACAGATCCTTAACCTACTGAGTCATCCAGGTGCCCTGAGGGGAATTTCTTTATAGAAGTCTACTAATAAATGAAGAAGGAATAACAGAACAGAATCAGTCTACCAAAGTTATAACCTATATTAATTGAAATACAAGCCCTAGAAAGTGATCATCAGTGGCTACTAATAATCTCAGGGAAGGCACGAAGACGAAGCATTCTGAGAAGAGGGTGGTAGCTGACAACACCGGACCCCACCGATGATATGTTAACACTGAAGAAGGAGAGACCCCCAGCTGTCATATAGCAACCAATATGGCAGCTCTCCAAGAATCGAACCTGTTCAAGGCCCTCGATCTAAGTCCCTGTTTATAGGACAAACAAGAGATAGAGGAACTTAGTAAATGACATCTCAGGGAAGCTATCATCCAAGTCTAGAAATTCTAGAAATTCTATAAGATAAATACTCCTTGTTTCTTCAGTAAGTAATAGTCAAGAAATAAAAAGGATGGGAAGCTTTTAGAGATTAAAAGAGAAAGGTAGGAAATCTCACCCAAATGTAATACTCAGACCTTGTTTGGATCCTGGTTTGAACAGACCAGCTCTAAGGACACGTTGGAATAATCAGATATAATGATGCCTGGATTCTAGATGCTATCCTGGAATTGTGAATGTTCTATATGTGGTATTAGTGTTGTGTTCCTGTTAAAAAATAGTCCCTCTCTCTTACTTACCAGTGAAATGTTAGAATCTGTGCACTTGCTTTTAAATCATCCTGTAAGGGCTTAAAAGGGGAGCGTTGGTGGCAAATATTTATGTTGGATGATGAGTACAGGGGGTTATTATAGTATTTTTTCTACGTTTGCATGGGTGAAATTTTCCATTATTACTTTTTGGTTTTATTTTTAAATTGTTTTTTAAGAAGTCATCTCTGTGCCCTACGTGGGGCTCCCAACTCACGACCCCGAGAACAAGCGTCCTGACTGAGCCAGCCAGGCAGCCCCTGAATTTTTTAAATTGAAAAATAAACTTAGCAGTAACAGACCAGGTGAAGAGAGCTTCATAAATCATTAGGATAAGTGAGGAGCTTTGCAAAGTTTCACCCTAAATATTTGGAGTATGTCTGTACCTACACACCTGCAGAAAAGGTATCCGCAAACGGCAGAGAATTTACTCGGCGTGCTTGCTACTGTCGATCTGAGCCCCCCACGTGCTTATCTTGAAATGCGCATGAGTCTCACCGTTTCCGACACCCTAGGGAGATCTTTGCGGCAAAGCTAACGCCGTGTGTTGGGTCAGACTGGCTTCTCACTGCGATCCTAATATCTGTTTTCCAGGTACAGCAGGTGCAGACTGTGCAGCAGGTCCAGCATGTCTACCCAGCTCAGGTGCAGTATGTGGAAGGAAGCGATACTGTCTATACCAATGGAGCGATGTAAGTCGATACGCGGGAGTTGTTTTCATTTCCCCCAACAAAGTCAGAGGAAAACACTGGGTTTGCTGACACATCCTGCTATTCCCAGATTGTTTCCTTGTTTTCATGGTAATTTTTTTTTTTTTTTTAATTTTGTTAACCAGATCAGAGTTACTGGAATGAGGCTTCTGTGTAGAGATTTGTCTAGGTTTGTGACAAATGGGCACTGATCTCTACCTTAGTGGAATACTTTAAATTATGAAAACTATTATGCTTTTTAAGGGTTTTCACTAGGTTGAGAAAAATGTATACCCCTTGTTGGTGACTTCTATATCTTATTAATACCCTATAAACCCTGTGCTTTTTGTTTTTATAAATAAGATGAATTTGTGTGTGTCTTTGTCTGTGAACTACCACAAAACTAGTACATTTGTTCCTTTTGTCATTTCCTGAATGAAGTTTCGTGTCCGTAAGAGTACCTGATCTCCAATCTTAATTTCCTGCTGAACTTGCCTTCCCCCTGCCCCAACTCATCACCTCCGCAGCAACAATGTAAATTTGTAAAGTTATACCAGGTGTGTTTTTTAGCCACTTTGGATGCAGTAAGATTGGGGATGTTATAAGAGACTAAGAACTATTACAGGTCACCATGATTGTTTTCATTTGACCATGTGAGGTTTTGCTTGTGATCTGCTGGGTCTCCAAGTTTACCGGAAATGAATTCAAATTCTCTCATTCTCTTCTGCCCACCACCTCCCTTCAGTGCTGGTGTGCCCCAGGTCCGTATGTTCTGCTTTATCCTTACTGCACCTTCTCTCTCCTTGGGCAGTGTCACAGAGTCCCATGATCTCAACCTGTCACCTCCATGAGGGCTGGAATTCTTGTCTCTCGCTATAAGTCTAACACCAGAAGAGTGCATGACACACAGTCAAAGTTCAGTTATGGTTACCTATTGTTATTATAACTAAGCCCTTTGGAATCCTCCCTTAACTCTGCACGAGTTTTATTGTCCTGATTAAGATACTTAACTATTTTGAGCTTTTGACGATTCTTTCCTGGGAAGTGGGAGGACGATGATCTCACTCTTATTAGGCTATTGTGAGGATTTGAGGAAATATCTTTTCAGCAACTCATGCAGGGCCTGGGAGACAATAGCTGGCACCAAACTGAAAGCTCCTCCCTCATCCTGACCCTTCCCTCCTTTCTCATTGCTTTCGGTCACTGAATCCATCTACATTCCCACTGCCTTAAAACCTCCATTACCTATAGAATATAATTCACCTCCCCACCTTGGCATTCACCCGCTTCCTACCTCTCCAGTTTCACTTTCCACTGTTCTAAGAACAACCAACTTTGTACGGGTTTCCTCAAATACTGCCCTTTTGTGCCTGTTTTTTGGATGTGTGGTTTTCTCTGCCTTCCCAGTTCCTTACACCGAGCCTCGTGGGATCTCTATAGACCGTACTCCCTTGTCTCCCCGCCTTGTGCCATGGACCCTTGGCTCTCTAGTGTGGTTAATTTGCCCTTCCCCTGTAGGATAAGGACAGCACTGGACCCTGACCTTCACTTCCAGTGTGGTGCTGTGAATGCTTACTCTTACATCTCTTACTAGCAAGAGAACGTCATTCTCTTGTTTTATTTACAGCGAGTTAGGAGACTGGCACATAGTAAAGGGCCAATGAGTTTCTGTTGCTCCAGTCAATCCAAAACTCTTTACATATGTTCAACACGCTCTGAATATTTTGTTACCTGTTTGTTGTGTAGGACCGGGGCCTCCTGGAGTCTGCTTTTAGAATCTCTACCATAAGCCCACACTACGGTTGGCATTTACACACAAAAAATAGATCCACCTGCCACTTGGAGTGGCGTACTATCAAGGAAAACATATGGGTTTCTAGATGCTGCTAGAGATCACTCAGTTATATTGTCATTTCATCCTTGCCTGTGGTTTCTCTGTCACGAGAGCCCCGGAGTAAAGCCATTATATACTCTGCCTTTGCTCAAGCATGTGCCATCTCCTACCTGGTTTGTTCTTCCCATTTAAAGGCATCCTAGACAAAGCCTGAACAATTCAGCCCCCTGCAGCGGAGGGCTGAGTTACCACTCTACTGTCTGTTACTGTAGCATTTCGTCTTACGTGTATTACAGCGTTCTATCAGCAGAGAATCCCAGAAAATCTGACAAATAGAAGTTTGAACAAAGTAGAGCTTTTATTTTTTCAGGTCACAAGAAGCCCAGAGGTTGCATGTTGTGCAAATCATTAGTACTCCATGGTGCAAATGTAAAGTCAGCCTTCTTCGAGAAAATCTTACAAACCAACACACAGCAGAGGGAGCATAACTGGACTGGCCACACCATGGAAATGCTCCAGTAGAGGACGTCTTGCCTCACAGAGTTCTGCGTATTTCTGGGAGCAGGGGCAGTGAGCCTTCGCGGGCTGCATAGTAGGGAAAATGGCTTTCTTAGAAAGGGAGGAGCGGGCGCCTGTCACTCTAAGTTCCATTAGCCTCTTCTTCCATCGGGATTAATCAGATCTGCTGAGCCAGGTTGGAGCCAAATGACCAAAAGGTAATAGGAAATGAACCTTTAGAAACATCCAGAACCATGCTTCCTTTACTGACATGGGTTTCACAGCTCAGGGATGTTCGAGCCAAGATTTTCTGATAGGTTGATGAGATGTCTGCTTCGGTTGGGACCATCGCAGCTACATTCCAGATGGGAAGAAGAGGATATGTGTATACATGCAGATAGGCGTACACATATGTGTGTATGTGGCCATGACCACGCACACAGAGGCTTTCCCAGATGCCCCCAGCTCCCTTTAGCTTCTCTCTCTTGAGTATAACCACATCACAAGGCAGTGGTTAGCCGCAAGGGGACCTGGGAACGCTGGTCTGTAACTTCCATGTTTACAGTAGAAAGCAGCAGGGGACAAAGGGCATTGGAATGGGTGTTGAGACAGTGTCTATCCTCATCCTTCATCATTGGTCCAGGGCCGGGCAGAGAGATGACTGGTGTGTGACTTTGTCCAAGATATACTGCCTGCTTCACTCACATTCATCTATGCCATGGAGGTGGTTAGCTTTTCCAAAAGTGCTTTCTGCAGCATCTTATAAACACTCTGTCAACTATAGCTATTGCTGTAAAATTACGTACTATAAAAAAAAGATTAAGTACTATAGTTCTTCTTTTGATGATTTCCGGCTCCTTTTGGGGACCTGAATTCTGCCTATTGCCTCGTGCCTTTTTAAACTCTTTGGCCACAGCCCTTGGGGTCTTCCGTACCATAGGGAGATGTGAGATCACTTGCAAAACCTTGGGAAAACAGCTTTGCTAAAGTTGACGCTTTAGAACGAGAGAGCCCCTTTAAGTACAGAAATGATTCCAAGTAAATGTCTCACGTCAACATGTTTTTGCTCTGGCTCACAATGTCTGTGTATTAGATCATGACTAATGAGTTCTAGGTCGTGAGTTCATTTGCCACAAAGCCCCAATAAGCTTTGATCCAGTCTGTGTGGGCCTGGATCGTAGCCTCATCTCCAGCCACTGGGGCCACTCGTGTGTGGAGAGAAGATACAGCTTCAAAAGCCTTTCATTAAAATTTCCATTCCAGTGCAATTTTTGACCAAAGATCCTGTAGCAGCACGTTCATATTTACTAAAGAAAAACTGTCTTGTCGTGAATTATCCTCACAATTGCGGCAGGTAGAGGACTATGAATACTGATTCTCAAATGGAACAAACTTTTTTTTTTTTTTTTTCCCCTGACCTTAAGCTATTTCGATCTTTCCGTGATTTTGGAGGCTGTTATTTGACTCTGTACAATGTTTGTCTCAAAGGTTCACTTGAGAGGTCTTATCTTCCCTCTTTTTTTTTTTTCTTCCTTTTTTTTAAGATTTTTTTTTAAATTTATTTATTTGACAGAGAGAGATCCCAAGTAGGCAGAGAGGCAGGCAGAGAGAGAGGGAGAGAGAGAGGAGGAAGCAGGCTCCCTGTCCAGCAGAGAGCCCGATTCAGGACTCGATCCCAGGACCCTGAGATCATGACCCGAGCCGAAGGCAGAAGCTGAGCCACCCAGGCGCCCTGTTCCCTCTTTCTCTTTAATGCACTTCCCTCTGTGTTAGGAAACAGTCCTCCCCATTCTCGAGTCTGGCACGCTGAAGTCTTGTGCTAGCTAATGCGGATCCCTGACCTGGGTCTCAGGGAGATTCCTACTTCTGTGCGATCATCGAGGCTTTTCGCTAATGACACTCCCAGATGACAGGCATGCCGGTCTTTATCGTGAACCTTCGAGCACCCGGCATCTGCCCTCACAACCCATTCACGCCTCATCAGTGCTAGTGCGCTGATGCTCCTGTCCCCGGCGTCCCCATGCCGTGTCACCAGGATGCACAGAGCCTCCCTCGAGAGGTGGTCATAGCCCTCCCAGAGATGTGTCATCACTTGTGAACATGTGCAGTCATTATAATTGGATGATACCGGAGTGTTTCCTTGGTTCTCGTCGTGAGGATGGGCGACTCCCGCAGCCTCACAGGCCGAGACTGATTTCTGGTGCTGCGTGTTTGAGAACGGCTCTCTGTGAGAGGAAGAAGGGAACAGAATTGGCTTTTCCTTCCAGTAGTTTTCCCATGAATCTTTTCCAAAGTCTGGATCATAGTCTTGTCTTTTTTTTGTTTTTTGTTTTTTGGTTTTTTTTTTTTGAGAGAGAGAGAGAATGAGCGGGGGTAGGAGCAGAGGGTGAGGGAGAAGCAGGCTTCCCGCTGAACAGGGAGCCCAACACGGGTCTTCATCCCTGGACTCCCCGATCATGACCTGAGCCAAAGGCAGATGCTTAACCCACTGAGCCACCCAGGCACCCCAGTCTTGTCTTTTTCTACAGATTCTTAGAATTTACAATGGCTGATAATTTAGAATGCTGTAATTAAACAAGCTGGGAAGCACTGCATACCATGGAGACACAGTCCAACGCAATTACTACTTCCTGCAGTAGCTCAGAAATCAATTTTCTTTAATAGAATGATT